CCGCACGACGGCAGGGAAGAACCAATCGATCCCTATCAATTCTTTGTCCGCATTTCTGCATGTCGGCAAATTCCGCGGAATTTGAAGAAATGCAGTTTTCAGATCGATACGTATATATTTCCTTTCTGCAAATTCCGCAGTTCTGCATATTCCGCATTTCTGCATCATGTATGAACGCGGCCTAACAAGTGCCGCGAACGTAGAATTAGGCGTGAGAACGGTAGTCGTACGAAGTGTGCAACTGCACTGCCAACCAGCTTGTTTTGCCATTGGCCGCGGCGGTGAAGTTTTGCGAGCTTTATAGGTATGTTTTTTCAATCAGGTCTATTAAACATTATATTCGTCAATAAGACGTCTTTATAGCAATGTCTGGACCAGGAGAACGTTTTCATGTTCTGGCACAATTGGACCACCTTCATTCGAAATACACAGGTACCGGACACGCAGATACAACGCGATACGAATGGCTCACGAATCAGCTAAGGGATACGCGAGCTTCACAAGTATGCTTTAACTTTTGCTGCTAAGAGTTCTGCGTGGCCTGTGAAATGATGATCCACGATGGAGCCCCTTTCACTTTCAAAAAGCGTAAATCTTCACCCCTGCTTGAAGGAACTCTACAGGAGGCGTGGAAGACTGTAATTAGTAAGGCATGGTCTTCTAGTCACTGTCGCATGAAATGTCAAAGCTGTCGTGGGATGTCCTGTTGAGTAACGTATTCGACTGCGGACTTGTACTTTGGACTGGCGTACTTTTTTTAAGTCCGAAATCCTAGAAGACGCTGTAGGGGAGCGGTGTGGAATGTGAGAATGGGAGAGTGAGGATGAATGGTGGACTGATATCATGTCCGAGTGCATAAAAGGGATGTCGGTGGTGTAATAAAGCATTCCTCTCCCTGTTCGGTTCGTCTCATCGCAGCTGGCAATCAGGCGAACCGAAGAAGCTGTCAAGGAGGCCGAATGACGATAAATTCCGTTCTCTACTCGCAGTATTACTCGAGAAACTGAAAGAAGCGAGAACCCGCTTGGTACGTTGTGTCAAGCCAAACTCCGGTGAGTTCTGGCGTTTGCGATGGTGCGGATAAGGACAGAGAATATCGAGACTTCAAATAGGTATAGAGAAAATATGAAGATGTGATCGAGGCAGAAAAGAAAGTAAATTTAATGTCGGACAAGAAGTATTTATTAGGAATTATCAGGAATGGATACGTGGAATTGTAGTTACAGTCATAGGTTCTAGCACTTATGAAGTTCGTTTCGGCATGGGAGCGAGAAAAACACATGCGAATCAGAAGAGATGGTGATTCCGTGGGAGTGAGAAGATGAAGAATGGTACAAGAGAAGGGACCCGAGAGTTCCGGTACAAACTAGACTACAGTAACGGTTCCGCTGCGACTATATCCGCAAAGCCTATAAAAGAGGGTCGGAGTGGTATGCTTCTTCAGCTACGCTGGCCCTGTCAGCTACCAACTGCGGCGGCAGGGGAACGGGACTTGTTACGCAGTCCCCAATAGATCGTCTTGCAGTAGCCAACCGGACCCCAAATGGGAGTCTCTGTGGCTGCTGTGCAACCGAGAGCTCCACCCCGTCGTCGCGGAGAAGAGGGCGCCGGCCGCAGATCAGTAAGGCAGCGTTCAGACTTGTAGCGCTACAACTGTCGCGCTACAGCGTCGCGCTACAGCCGTCGCGCTACAGCGTCGCGCTACAGCGTCGCGCC